ATTTTGAAATTTTGCTTCTTAGAGATATCGTATGTGTTGACACCTATATTCCATAGATTCTTCAATTCAGCAATCAAAGGCTGCAAGAAAACATCTAGTTGCTACTTAGGATTCTTTGGCCCAGGAACTATAACTGACAAAAATAAATAGGGATCTTTCATACACATCCAAGGAGGCAAGTTGTATGGTGTCACTATTACTGGCCAAGATGAATATTGTTTCCCCGTTTGTCCAAATGGTTGAAACCCATCTGTTGATAGCCCCAATCTAACATTACGACTTTCCTCTGAAAAATATAGATGCTTCTTATCAAAGTGCTTCTAGGCAGGTGCATCTGAACAGTGACGCATTACACCTTCCTCAACTTCATGTTCAGCATGCCATCGCATGTGAGAAGCAGTTGCTTTGGAAGCATACAGTCGTTGAAGTTGTGGAGTAAGAGGAAAGTAATACATCTGTTTAAATGGTACAAGATTTTTCTTTGAAACAGATCTTTGACTTGTAGGCTTGTACCTGGGATGACTACAAAATTTGCAATTTACAAGCTCACTATCCTCTCCCCAGTAAATCATGCAGACATTGACACAAGTATCAATTTTTTCAACTGGCATGTTTATTCCCCTCATTAACTTTTTAGTTTCATAGAAAATTTTTTTGAACATTATCAGGCTGAAGCATCTCACTCATATACTGACAAATTTCATCAAAGCATCTATCAGAGAGGTGGTGTTCAGTCTTGATGTGCAACAAACAAGAAACAGCTGATAATTTTGAGTGTGTTTCACAACCAGGCCACACTTCTTGATTTGCATAATCAAGCATATCATAAAAGCTTTGTGCATCAAGATTAGGTAATTCTTCCATATCATCTGGAACAAATGCGGGACCAGCAGCCTCGTGAACCATTCTATGATATGATGTAGTAGGTGTAGGATCATCAAATGCACCAACATTCACGGGTAGGTTATTCATAGTATGATCTCGTGGTATCCTTTCATCTTCATCTATGCTTCTCGCAATTTCATTTTCTCCATGCAAGTACCATATATGATATACCGGTACAAAACCTTCTTTTAATAAATGACCATGGACAGTATGAACATTTTCAAAGTTTCTATTTTGACATTTCTTTCGGTTACATGGGCACCTTAGTTTCTCACTACAAAAGCACACAGAGAATTGAAAAGAAGAAATTTGCAGTATAACAGAAAATGGAATATAGAATAATGTTATTTGTTTTAACTTTGAACTGGAAATCTCTATTTTTTACAACAGGTATGCAAGTTGTATATATATAAACTAAATAACAACCTTTTCTCCTAAAATAACTCCAACAAAGTCCTATTCAAATAAATAGTAATATGATATCATTCCTAAATAACGGGAACAGAAATATTTGACTCAATTAACTTAAAAACAATCACAAGCTAAAACAATATAAGAGAACATAAGAAGATACACTATTTTTTAACAAATGGCATTATAATTATAAAATATTTGAATAGTTAAAAAGGGTGCAATTTATAATCAAGGCAGCAAGACAAATGTTTCCACTGAAGCTTCATTTTTTTAGTACCTTCGTATAATCAAAACTTCATAAAACATGTAACTCAAAATATGAAGGCAATGAAAAGTATTATGTTCTTCTACATCTTTTGTAGTTTTAAACATGTAACAAATGGCATTATAATTATACTGTGATTGAAATAGTTGAAAGGAATTGACCTCCTAGAAAATGTAATATCTCTATTTTGGTGGCAGACTTACACTCATCAATAGAGTGTTGCACAACATTCCTACCTACCTCATCTCCCTATTTCCATTACCAAAAAAAGATTCAGGAAAGACTAGATCGGTTAAGAAGAGATTTCTTATGGGAAGGTAACTGTGAAACTAACAAATTTCATTTGGTTATTATACCTAAGAGACATAATGGGCTAGTGGTTAAAGATTTGATTTTGCACAACAAGAGTTTTCTAATGAAATGTCATTGGATATACATGGACAATCCTGAACTATAGAAAGTTGTAATTTGGGAAAAATATGGGGTGGAAAGCAATTGGTGCACAAGCCGAAATAGAGATCGTCATGGCTCAAGTCTCTAGAAACACATTTCAAAGTAATGGGGAAAGCTCCAACCCAACTCTTCACTCCAGCTGGGGAGTGAAGATCATATATCTTTCTGGAAAGAAAGATGGTTAGGGACAGAGAGTGTGAGAGATGATTTCTCATCTCTTTTTCTAATTGCCAACAATCAGGAATCTACTATTTCTTAGTATTGGCAAGACAACTCTTGGATTAAGTAAGCTTTATTAAAAATACTAAAATTTGAATACAGTATGATGGTTTAGAAGTTTTATACTCTTACAATAGACTAAATCGACAAAAAGATATTTTCACATTCAGCTTTTGCTCAAAAGTGTTTCTAACTGTGGCGTTTAGAATTTTATTTCTGGCAGCTCAATATAATATCACTTTAAAGATTAAAAGATATAGTCAGGTTGTTGTTACAAGGTTAAAAAAATGGTTTGCACTTTCAAACAGTAAGTACTTTTAGTAAATTCCATAATCACCTTGTTAATTTTTGAATGATGTGGCTTAATCTATAAAAATATAAACTTATCTTTTAGCTGGGGGCTCAAAAATAGTGTACCGAATAGTGAACCCAATTCACAACTATGTTAGAGAAATTGACAGGGGATTCAAACACACAAGTCTATATATTCACTATATGAATGCTATATATTAATTGACCAAATAGAGCACATTTGAAGTTCTACAATTGACTGATTGTATCAAACAAAAAGGAGAAACTAATCTTGATAAAGAATACTTACCACTTAGCGGAAAGGATAGTGAAACTGAGAATCCAAGAGCCACAGATGAATTGCAAGTGAGTGTAGTCGGAGACAATCTTTAAAATGAGATGAAAATGAAAATGA